CTGAGAGTTGAAGTCCACCCATCTTAAAGTCGCTGAGGTTGAGGAACCCTGCTCCAGAGTATTACAATGTTCGTGGCCTTAGTGGAGAAACTTGGAAACTTCCCTCAAATTAGACCACCTGAATTATTGTCATTTGCACCCTAACCATTGCAGCTGTTAGGTGAGGTAGGTTGCCCACAACCCGCTCTCCAAAAGCCAGCCCTTTCATCTGTCCATCTTACTGGAAGAAAGAGGGTATCACTGTTGAACTGCAGCCTGCCTCGGAGCTGTTCAAAGCCTATCCTACACTTTGGACGCGACCGTGGATTGGTTCCCAGATTTTCTTCTCCTCCCTCCCTTGTTCTCCCTCCCTTTCCCTGTGTCAGGTTTGAGATTGTAAACTCCTTGGGGCAGAGACATTGGCTCACGTTCTTTATCTCCATTTTATTCCTCAATCCTGCCCCCCCCCCAAGCATGTGGATGGCCTCCTTCGACTCAGCGAAGAATTGTGGCAGCGGGTGGCAACAGCCACGCTGAATCACAGCTGGCTGCTGCTGGATTCGAGGGCAGGGAGGAATCGCTTTTGGAGACACTGTAAGAGGGGGAAAAAGCACATTTTTCTCCTGTCTGGTCAGGGTTGTATGGGGAAGGGAGGCTTGGAATGGCTGGATGCCCAGTTTGGATGCTGAATTTTCTGAGAAACAGGCCACATTTTCACTCCTCCCCTGGGGAGGCTCTGCTCCTTTAAAGCCATCTACGTGGCTGGTAGGAAGGAGAGCTGACGCTGCTGCATTCTTCTTTTTGCAGCCAAAATTGGGGAAAAGGCTGAAAAGCTTGGGGAAAAAAAAGAAAACAAGGGCTGCTAAGCAACTGAGCTCTTGCGTCATCAGGGCCTTCCCTCCCTCCCTCCTCCCCTCTCAGCCTGCATCACATTGCCATGGCAACAGCATCCAGGGGATGAATGCTTTTTGGGCGGCATCTCAGGGACCGGAGGAGAGAGACTTGTAAGTTGAAAGGCCCTTTTCCGATGAAACGAAGGGGGAACAGAGGCTGGTTGACCCCAGAGTGGTTGCTCTTTCCACCTTAGAGAACCCTAAGACCACCCCAGCTTTTCGTGTAGCTGGGCATCCTGGCAGCAACCCCCTTCTTGGCACGAAGATCACTTAGTGGCAGGCCCCAGCTTTGCATCAAGAGTCCTGATTTTTAAAAAAAAAAAATTCCCTGGCATCTGCAGTTCTATGTGGTTCTCTATCAACCTTATAACCTGCTTTGCACAGATTGAATAAAACTGCCCCGTTGAAACCCCATGTTGAGGGGAAATCGAATGGAAAAGGTGGGTCTTTCAAGTGGGCTTTTGCTGTTTAGCATGGTGGGTGAAGAAGCTAACAGTGGCCAGGGCAAGGTTTCTCAAGCGTGGCAACTTTCAGATGGGTGGACTTCAACTCCCAGAATTCCCCAGCCAGCTATGCTGG